CCTGGGCTGGTCTACACAGCATTCCCCCTGGGGACACGGAGGGGAGGTGGGCCTGGGCTGGTCTGAGCTGGCACCATTTGTACCTGCTGCCTTGGGCCTTCTCCCACGCCGTCTGGCTGTCCCCGTCTGTCTGGCTCTCCCTGCGGCTTCGCTGCCTCCTGGCCGTTTTCTCTCGCTGTGGACACCCCAGCATCAACTGGCTTCTCCTTCCAGTTGCTCTGCCTCCAGCTGGCTTCCGGCCACCCAGCTTTCCCTTCTTGGGGCTTTTCACCAGTCCCCCACCTCCCAGCTGCCCTTCGCCCAGGGCAATGGCAAGCGCCCCCCACCCCGCTGGCTGAGGTGCCCCGCCCAGCTCAGTCTCACACTGCACTTTGTCTTCCTCCAGGTCCTGTGTTTTAATTTTCCTATCTCTGGCTTCGAGTCCCTTCCTCCCCAGTTTTGTCTTCCTCCTTTTCTTTTCTGGAAACCAAGGCCTCCTGTCCCACCTTGGTGCCATTACCTAATTTGCCACCTCCTTCTTTCCTGGTTTTTCCCACCTACACGTCTTTTCATCTTCCTTCTGTGCTCAGCTCCTGCCCTGTGACTCTCGCTCCTCCTCAACGTCGCCCAGGCTCCTCCTCTGTGCTGGGGTGATCACCACATCCCCGCTGTGCACCTGCTCCTCGCCATGCTCCGCACCTCTCCCGTGGGGGCCGCTCTGTCCATCCGCACTGCCTGCCCAAGTGTGCTCCTCCCTGGCCCCACCGTGGCCCGTCTTCTGCTCCCCACAGCTGAGGGCCTCAGGCCTGCCCCTCCTGTCCCCGCCGCCCGCTTCTCACACTGCCTGGATGCATCTCCCCACACATTTGTCCTCAAGCCCTCTCTCCCCTTTCTCTTCGGAATTTCTTTCTTTTTTCTTGGTTTGTGCTTCCTTTCCACACAGCCCTCGCCCCGGCCAGCGTCTATGAGCTCACGGACCAGGTCCCCTCCAAAGGCCCCCTTCTGGCTGGGCACCTCCTGCAGCGCTGCATCCTTCTCTCTCTTCTGGGTTCCAGGGCCCCGGGCACATGGACTGAGGGCCATCTTCATCCCATTTGCAGGACCTCCGTGCAGCCTGGGAACCTTGCCCAAAACAGAGTACACACCATGAGAGGGGCCACATGGTCATGAGCCCCCTGCACGGAGGCGCCAGAGGAGGAGGGAAGATTCACCTCCCCACCCAAGCAATGACGGCTCTCCATGGACCTAACAAATGTTTTAACTGAGCTTTGGAAGACGGCTTCTTGACCTCGACCTTTGTGGCCTCTGTCAGGAGCAGAAACCAAGGGCAGTGAACAAAGGGGCCGGGGGTCAGCTTGGGGCTGATTTCTGAAAATCATGTTAGAGCCCTACTGAGGCAGAGGCCTGGGCCAGCAGAGAAAGGTAAGGAAGCCCTGCCACAGCACAGGTGGCAAGCAGGATTAATGCATGGATTCCATGTGGGATCCAGGCAGGGGAGCCCTCAAAGATGACGCCGAGGTCTGTGCCTGAGAAGACAGAAGGTGCAGCTCCACCGAATTGAGAGGACCAGGGAGGGAAGGGTGGCAGACACCCATGCTCCTCTCGGGGTGTGCTGACTGCAGAGGCCTGGAGTCCCAGGGGAGGCCTCCTCTGCCCCAGCCCAGCTTAGCCCTCCTGCCTGAGGAAGGAGGGGAGGAGGGCCACCAGAGGGACAGGCGAGGAACTACCCCAGAGCAGTGGCAGGAGCTCAGGCGGCTCCGGCAGACCCTGAGACCCCACCCCCGCTGGCCAAAGCAGCTGGCCCCCCGTCCTCTGGGACTCCCCCAGCCCCACACCCACCCAGGAGACAAAGGCAAGGCTCCCACTCCTTACTCAACAAGAACCCCTGTGCCCCCTGCCCACCACACGGCACCATTCCCCAGCTACAAGGACACAGATGGTCACACAGACCCCACAGTGATCCCTGCCACTCCCAGACGCCCCTCCCCAGTAATCCCTCTGGTGGGGGACGTAGAGGGGGAGGCGCAGACGTTGCCCCGTCAACAAGCCAGGCTCCA